ATAACGTAGTGCAAGCTGAATCCTTGGGTTCCTTTAAATCAGAGCTAGATAAGATTTTAACAACTCTGAGCTATTAGTTAAGTTCTCCCCAAGCAAGCTCGATGGGCCGAATGGCCTCCTCTCGTTTGTATAGTTCTTATGTTCTTATTAGTTATGCTGATGGAAATACATTAAAGTACCGCTAAAATACAGCAGATGAATGCATCTACTACATACTTGATTCGTACATGTAGCTGTGTGCTATTTATGCTTAAGCTGTACAGTACCAGTCAAAAGTCTGGATTCCAGGTGGCTACATTTGGACGATGGTTGAAAGAATGCTGAAAGTCTGTAATGCTGTCATCGAAGCAAAGGGGGTTATTTTGAAGAGTCCAAAATATAAGAAAATTTTAATTTTGGTGAATAACGTATCTAAACTCGACACAGATGCAGTGAAAGCAGGTGTGCCCAGACTTTTGATCGGCAGTGTATTTCAATAGAGTTTGTTCAGGTATATTCTCAAGACATGGCCAAGACAATACTGCCCTGTCCCACCTTCTGAATGAAGCTGAATTCTGCAGAGTAACAGCCGCTTGACTCTGAACAGTTAAGATCACATGCGCTATTTCACAGGGTTTTGGGGTAAACAGTCGAGCTGGTCCCTTCGGCACATTGTCAGCCCTCATTCTACTGTCTTTGTCAACAGGAAGCACAGATCTTTGTGCAGTTCCTTCCTCCCTTGGCCTATTTATCTGCCCGTGTCAGAAAACCGCTCCATACAATGTGTTTGGGATGAAGGCTGTTTGAACTGGACCAAATCGATTTTATTTTTGCCAAAGAGTATTTCATGCATTTCCTAAGTATATATATATATTTTCTTCCTCCTACCATAGTGATCACCATGATACAAAAGTGCACACAGGGTATGAAAACATTTTCTTATGTTATTCCATCAGGTCTGTGAATGTCTTAAATGGCTTTCACCGGCAGAATGTAATCTGGGAGGTGCCGGCAGTCGTCCATTAGTCTTCAGCTGGCTTGCCGCTGCCCCTGGCTTTCGCCGTTATTACTGACTTCTGTATTACAGCCCAGCATCCGTGCAAACCCCTGTGCAGAGACATGCAGCGCTTCCTGCGGCACTCCGTGCAGGTTTATTGGGCATAATTGTCCTCCTGCTCTGATTCAATATGGCAGCATATTGATTCTGTCCTAATTCGATCTATGTGAGGAGTGAGTAAACAACAGGAGTCCTATCAAGTGTAGAATTTTTCCCTCCTTCGCCCTTTTATACACCTTCATGTGTAGAGAAAACCCAACAAAGTAAGTTAGTTGTCTTAGTTTGCGAAATAAAACAATACAACTCTGTAGGCCTGGCAGAGGAAATGATAAGCTGAAAACGGTTGGATTTCTCTAAATCTTGTCAGCACACAGGAATTGTTGTGGCCTCAAGCATAAGCAAACTTTCAGGATGAGCTTGTTTTTCTTCAGAAGAATTGTTTGTAAAAATAATCATAATAATTTGCTGATCTTGAAACTGGGCCTCATGTCCAGGATGTTCCCCTGCCTAGTGCCCAGAGCAAAAGGGAAAGTTAATCTGCTACTGAATTAGGAATCGCTGTTTTCTAAGTAAAGGCTGGGATTTCATTGTCTGTCCCTTAGAGTTTTAACATGAAAGTCAAAATGTAAATAACACATCACTGTTATCTCTGGCTTATTTTTGCCAGCTTTGGCCGGTTCTTATAAATAAACTGCTAGAAACTGAGCTTTGAGCTGTCCTTCATGTGTTTGTGGAAAAATACTCACACTACATTGTTTTTTTACACACACACACACACACACACACACACACACGCACATACGCACGCAGATCCTTATGGGGACCATTCATTCATTTCAATGGGAAAAATGCTAACGCTAACTATGACAACCTTAACCCCTACCCAGCCCTAACCATAACCATAAGTAACCTAACAAAATACATTTTTAGTTTTTTCATAGCAGTCACCGATTTTTATAAAATAGAATTTTCCCTCGGAAACCGGTCCCCATAAGGGAAAAAAAAACGGATATTTATCACGTTATGGGGACATTGTGTTCCCATAAGGATAGGTATACCTGCTCACACACACACACACACACACACACAATATTCTGTACTGTCCTAACTAAAACCATTAATTTATAATAAAATAACACAAGGGTGGATGTACATCTTTTCATA